CATTAGTTTCAAGGAATAGTCACTTATGTGGACCAATTGTGTATGCAAATCTCTTTAAAAGAATGACTGCTTTCAGAGACCAAAATTCATGGCCCTAATGCTTGGTCTGTCTAAGTGGAATCCATTTTATATATATAATGCCTACATACATGAAGACATTGTGGGTAATGTACATAATCAAAATATAACATATTGTACATAATGATTTGACATATATAATGCATACTTTTTTATTTTATGTATGTATTATATTCAAATAGACGCAAACACTCACAAACAACAGAAAGGTAGATGGTTGCATATTTAGCAGGAAAACGAAAAGACTACTTATTTTCTTATCACAGGTCTGTACTTCAGGAGCAAGTGAAAAGTTTATATATATATATAGATATATACACAATTTGGTATAAATTGAGGATACTCTCACTATTAATTTAGAAGTATTACCATTTTTTCCTCAAAGATTAACTTCACATTTTTTTTTCAAGACAAAACTTCATTGAACTTACACTAACACAGACATAATTTTAGTTTACACAGATTATGATTGTCATAGGGCATTTTTAAAGTTTTAACAATATCTAGAAGACATATATACACACTTCCATATATGCATATATACATATAGATTCATACTTGTTTCTTTTGTAATTACATATTGTTACCAGATTAATAAATACAAGTTTACTAATTTTAATTGAAACATTTTCAAATAATTTCACCCCGAATGAATAATCCAAAGGGTGAAGAAAACATTTGAAATATCTGCACCTGAATTTGTAAGATATTTGCAAGGTAGTTAAAAATCCAATTTAAGATGCACTAACTAAATATCAAATTATTGGAGTGGGTGTTTAAAAAAAAATTAAAAGTAGTCAAATAGACTATAGAGCAATTAAATTTTGAAAATGTTGTTTGTGGTGAATGCTTTTTGCGAAAAGGAAAAAAAATGAAGAAAAAATAAACAATGCAGATTTCACAAACTGATTAAACCAGTTTAGAGGGAAAAAGCAGTTTACAGAAAAAATTTATAGAAATGTTTCAGAAAAAAGGCTTGTAGAAAAATGCCATTTTATTTTTACATATTTATAGTCCTTTTTTGGGTTTCATATTTTAAATATAAATCAAAAAAGAATTTCTGAATGGTGCACATGTTCATATACTTAAATAAACAAAAAATAATTAAAGAATTTCTTCCTACCCAGTTCAATACCAATTCACTTTTTGACCAAAAATTGTAAAAATTATAAATGTAGAATAAATGCCCCCAAAAGAATGCAATAAACTTTAAATGTCTGTTGAAATAAAAGTGAAAATGAATTAATGCATCCATCATGTCATCAATATGTAAACTTGTACAAAGTTTGAATTAGTATGCATTATTTACTATACTTATAATGTTAAATGGGTAAACATGACATTAAATTGGTATACAAACTTTAATTGTGGTATTGTTTCCACTGTGTGCATGTGTATATTTAATAATAATCTGGACAGTTTAGACTTTACTAGAAAATGCCAGATAATATAACAGGTATACAGGGAGTAGACACATTATAAAACTTGTGCAAGGTCTGGATAACTGTCATTGGTATTCAGTACAAGATAAATCTTATTTAAGAAAGGCTCCACTTCCTTGAGAAATCTTACATAAACAAGTATTTATATATGTATATATGCAGCTATGTATGCATGTATGTGTGTACATATATATATATATATATATGTGTGTGTGTGTGTGTGTGTGTGTGTGTGTGTGTGTGTGTGTGAATGTATATATGCATCTATATGTGAGTAGGTATGCATTAGTATATTTATGCATGTGTAATTTTTGTATGTATTTATGATTGTATATATCTCTTTAGATACTGTCAATACATATGTATTTATTTTTGTTTGTAGATTCGTTAATGTCAAAATTTTTATTTTTCTGCTTGTGTATAAATGTATATAGATGCACAGACACACACTCTCATTTACACAGTTACAAATGTATGTGTTTTTGTGTTCTAGTATGTAAAATGTATATTTGTACATACATACACACGTTTATGCATATATTACTTGGTGTATGTGAATTGATTTTAATATTGTTCTTCTATTAAAGCAGTAAGAAGACATTCCAATGTACTTATTTTGCAGAAAGAAAGGAAAATAAAAAGAACAAATACACGATTTTTGCAGGTTTTTCTTTTTTTGTTTTCACTTTACAGTGGAAAAATTATTACTAAATCCTAATTGGCCAGCATTTATATTGTTTTCTTATTAATATTATTTTTGGGGTTTTTGAAAGACCTTCCAAAGATTTACATAAATTTATATGTATACACGCACATCCACTAACACATATACTTGAGATGAAAACACATACTCACTCACAATCTTTCTCACACAAGTTCTTTCTTACGGGGCACATTTGCTTACTTCTTACAGTTGTATTTATTTAAACAATTGTATATGTAAGTAAGTACAAGTGTGCACCAACTTTACATTAAAGATAAGTAAAATTAAAAAAAATTAAAAAATTTGAAAAAAAAAAGCAAGTCAAATGTTATTGAATATTAAAATCTTTAAGGTTTAAAGTTTCTTTGATCATGTCTATCACTCAAAACCTTCACCATAATGTCTTTCAACATCGAAATGATAATATCAGTATATACAATGGTTTCGATGAAAATACAACAAACGGCACATTTAAAGGGATAGGTTTTTTTTTCCAATTGCGTATTTTAACTTTTGAAATTTCACTTTATTTTTTATTTTTTTACATTTTTTTTCCTCTATCCCCAGAAATGTATTCGGGAGTGGTGTACATAGTTTATTTTTTTATTTTTAAAAAATTTTTCAATATATTTTTGTTTGTTTTTTTTCTTTCTCAATTTTTTCATCATCTTTTAGTTTCTCTTATTCAGAAAATGGTTGAAAAATGTTTTAAACAAAAAGAATTCTTATTTAAAGAAAAAAATGAGAGAGACAATTGCAAAAAAGAAGACAGCTTAAATTTCTATTTGGCAATGCATTGAGAGAACAGATATTAAAATACACATAAAAAAAGAGAAAAGTTATATATATATATATATATATATATATATATATATATATATAGGAACCTTAGAGAGAAGGGACATAGAATATTCTGGCCTTAAAGTCAAAGGTCTTGTCTTTCATTCTTTCTTTTAAATGAGTTGAATTATTGGCAAATAAATGCAGAAAAATTCAATAATATACATACTCAATTTCATAAGTATATGCATACATCATCAACATAAATATAAAAACAGTTACCATGAAAATGTATACATGCGTGTGTGTGTATGTATGTGTGCGTGTGTGTGTGTGTGTGAGAGTTAATGCATATATTGATAAGGTAAAATTTTCTGTTACAGGTAAAAATTTAATGCTTTAAATAAATAATGTATATATATATATATATATATATATATATATTTATTTATATATATTACTATGTGTGTTACATGCACACAGCATACATACATACATGCGCAAGTTACATGCTTTCATTATATACCATTTGCACTGTGGTAGTGTAATTTTATGAATATATATTTTTTTCTGTTTCCAAATTGCAACAGAAATTTACCTGAATTAATCACTTTTAAAAACTGCAGAGTAAATTTTTTCTTTTTTTTTTGTCTCACATGGAATGCATGTCATGGCCTCTAAGAAACTCTCAGAAACTGCCAAAAAAATTAAATGAAATTTTTAAAATAATGCATATATATCTTGTTAAAGTATTACCCTTTATAGCTTTCCTTCATCTAAATGTTATTACTAAATGGCACTGAAAGACTGAAAAAAATGTTGCTGAGGAGAAGGAATAGTAAGTAATAATACAAAAAAAAATTTTTAAATGAATGACTGAACAATTGAATAAATTATAAAAAGTAAAAATGAAATATTTACTATGAGGGTAGGACTAAAAAAAAGAAAAACTTAGCATAAAAGAACAAAATATTTGAATTTTGATGTTACAGAAAAAAATTGAATGCTATATTAAAAAAATTTTTAAAAAAATGTTAAAAATTAAATTTCTCTATCAAATAAATAATTACATAAATAAATATGCAGAAAAAAGGTGAAAAATAAGAAAGAAAGAAAGAAAGACAGACAAAAGGTAACCAAGATGAAAATATGATGACTTATGTTATAAATCAACAACAATGACAACAAAAAGTACAAATTTTTCACCATAAAATATTTGGTTATGTACAAATTTTGAAAGTCCAACCTACATACTAACATAATCATGAGCTTCATAATTTACTGTGTTTACATTTAATTGCTTGTAAAATATAGAGCATTTGACCTTAGACTCTTATACATGTAATTCTACTTGTATTTTATATTTATTAATTTTTCATTGACATTTTAAAAAAAGCAAAGAACCTTCAGGGCATAGGCAGTCATGGCTCTCCACAGATTTGTTTTGTCTGAATTGCCATTAATTTATGGATTATATTACAAGAATGTTTGGTTAGCTCTATTGCATTTACTAAAAATAAAAATGGAAATATTTAATTTTGTTCATCATTATTAAATTGCATCACTAACTAATTTCAACAGTGTCTTTCTATTCATCTTTTTTACTCTTGCTAATTATCCACATTCTTCTAATGCATTTCTGTATTTATTTCATCTTCTCTATAATACTGCTATCTGGAATTTTTTCTAATTTGGTCTTTTCGGATAATTTACATTCCCCAGTTTTTCTTTTATTTAAGTTAAAAATGGTTTAAGTTCTTTTTGCTTCATATATTTTTTAAAATTTACATTAAGTTGTTGTTGTTGTTGTTTGTTTTTTGTCTTCTTCCTTTCTCTCATTCCTAATAATTTTAAAAGAAAAGAAATATTTTACGGATATTTTTTGTTTGCTTTTCTTGGATTTTTTAAAACAATGTTTTGTTTGCTTTTGTCTTCTCTTCTGCCTTTTTTTATATTTGCAAATGTCTGACAAGTGTGCTGATCAATGTCCATCATATTTAAGCATGGATATCTTGTAACTGTTGTCCCATGACGTCCATACTTCCTCCATGTAAAGGTGGACTTTGTGTGGTTTGTATTGGCATACCATGATGTCCCATTCCTGGTGCAGTGTGTCCCATCATCATATGATGCGGATGACCTGGAATGAGCATGGCTTGAGAATGCACTGGTGGACGCAGTTGTGACATCTGACTGTAAGACCCGCTAACTGGTGGAGGTCCATACATATCTGCACCATGCATACTTTGTACACCCAACATGTCATACCGCTGACCATCAGGAACATGAGAATAACCTGCTTTCATAGGATCATACATGTCTCCCCCATGAATTCCTTGTAATGCTGAAAAAGAAAAAAAACACAAGCATAAGTAATTTTAAAGAATTTTGCATATTAGCAAATGAAAAACAAATAAACAACACAAAGAGTTAAGTTAGAAATGCTCAGCAAAATTTTAAAACATTTTGGCATGCAAACAATGTGATCATTTTTTACTCTATGAACAAGTATGCCAAATCATAACTCTATATTGTCTAATAAGTTGGTGGAGATCAACTTTGTTCAATTTTTTTATAACAAATATATCCACATTATAAACACCTGCAGTTTTCTTTTTATACTTCATGGTGACCCCCATGAGTGTTAAAACAAAAAGCATTAATGGTACAAACATATTTTGACTTCATCACCAAACTAAGAATTCTTAAAATATTTTAACACTCTGTAGTTATTAGACTATCCACCAACTTATTAGGCATGAGAGAGTAAGAAATAAATGTAGAAGAATATTTGCCATTACCACTTCAGTTAGAGTCAGGCACATTGCCAATGAGGATTTTAGGGCAACCCTCTACCCACAAATGATCATTTAGCCAGTCTCTATAAAATAATGTGAACTAATTTTACTTTTATTTTAATTCTTACTTGCAACCCCCACATAGTAAAAGGTCAACTCTCACCACAATGCAAAAACCTCTGGCAATGGGCCAGGTTAGAATAGACAAAAAATATACAAAATATATATATATATATATATAAGCGCATAGTGTTTTTGCTGTTTATTTTTGTCAAAATAGTCCTTGCAATAAAATGGCATCTTGACATGTTGAATGCCCCCTCATTACAAGCTTATAAAAGAACATCTATAGAATAGTAAAGAATGTGTTTTTGTTTTTTTACTTGAAAATATGTATTTTACATTGATGTCATAAAATGTTTTTTGCTTTATCATGGAATGCTAAGAAAAAACTATTGAATTGTATATTGAATATTACTGGAACTTTACCCATGTTCCTCATTTGGCATAGATTATTCAAAGTTTCTTGATTAAAAATTTATGAATTTTTATTATTTGATAGAAAGAGTGTGTTTATAGGACATGAAATATGCATTTGTGTGCATATTATAAATAAAGCAATCTGTATTTTTGATTTGTTTTCTAAAATCCCTTGCCATGTTTCTTGATATTTACTAAGCTTAGCTTGATATAGCATAAAATAGCATGAGTATGGAGATGGAATTTTTCAAGTGAAAAAGGATCTTAAAAATTAGCATTCAAAATCCTGGTCTATATCTGAGCTTTATCACTGACCTCTATTGCTAAGGCAGTCTATCACTCTTTCATACACATTCAGATATTCCAAATTGTTAATAAAAATAAGAAATTCATTTTAACGACCAGTACTTTAAGTAAAATAGCTCTTTAAAGAAAGAATTATCTCCCTTGCTTATGCTTAGATATACATGTGATGGAGACAGGCTCAGTAGATAAGCATTCCCATCAAGAATACATTTAGTAATTTATTTTAAGATTTCTTCTCAAAATACTTCTTTTATTCACTTATTTATTTAAGTACTAAAACATAGCTTACTATGAGGTCTCATGGACATCTGATTATTGTCAAGGTAACCCATTCCAGACTCAGGGTTGTATGGTGCATGACCACCAGGGCCTGTAATAAAAGATAAATATATATTAAAATAAATAATAAAACAATTCCTAAAAAAAAGTCATACATATAATTTGTAACATGCATTTTGCCAAAAAGTATTATTGTTAATTTTACTATGTCTATTTTTAATAATTCCCTATGCATTAATAATCAGTGAAAAAAAATCACACATTCTCATGAAAAACAATAATAGAAAGTTATTTAGCATATTGTGAAATGTAATAGTGGCCATGCCGTATATTCAAGACGAGCGTATTTTACTCTATAATCAGTAAAGGGTAGAGCAGGCATGGTGGAGTAATGGAAAATGTCTTGGATTGAGGAATTGGAGAGCCAAGTTTGAATTCCAGTTAAATCCATTACATTCACTTACATGTTAATACCCTTGGAAAAGGTACAAATTCTCTTCTTCTCCCTCCAGCTATGGGTAAATAACAGGACAGACCAGGTTCTATAGCCTTGGATAGCAACTGGCCTAACGCAGAAAGAAATGGCAACCTACTGCAGGAAAATATCTGTCTTGTCAGTCATGTATCGAAAGATACATGATCACCTAAGTGTGTATCATTCATGGCACATAGCTGACTGAATCAGTAAAGAGTACTAAATTACAGATGACTATTAGTGATTGGTAGATGTTATCTAAGCATGTCCAAAAAAGAGAGAGGTACAACCCACAAGTTAGCAGATTTTGACATCTGATTCTTCAAGACAAGTAACCCATTCAGCAATAAACTAAAAAAAATATCAACATCTCAATTCAGTAAATTCTGACACTTGATACTTGATTAGTCTATTGTTTTTGAAAGCAGAGGTCCTAAATTGTGTACAAATGAAACAAGTGTACAATTTTATGTTTCTGTATACATATGTGGCTCATTTTTATTGAAAAGAATTACAAAAATCATGATTTAATATGTCAACAATCAACATAGCAGAAACTGTTCCAAACAATATCCTCCTTTTCATACTTCTTCTCTGTATTTGAGGACATGGGGAATCACATCTCTCCACAACTTCTTATCTTTAATAACTCTAAACAATATCACCTTTTAATATATCTCCCAATCCCTGTTAATAACATTCACATTTACACAGGCTTATTAAGTAAGTTACCCAATGTTTATCTCTGCCCTTCTTGACTTTAATATGTCATGTGAATGTCAAATTCTCCAAACACACCTTCCTTATCTGTCCCAGATATTTCAGATGTCTACTTCTGATTCTAAGTACGAATTTTATTTTTGTTACTTTGATCCCAAAGTTTTGACAATGTCCTTTACACAGTTGTAACCATACTAATGACTGAATTTGATCAATTACTGTCGTTGTTGTTGTTATTATTTAGTAGGCATGGTGACTTTTAAATTCCAACCCAGTCTGTTCTTTTTACTTTGGTACTAAAGACTTTGAAAAAGATAAAAATGTACTACTTCTCCCTACATCAGCTCTAGGTTAAATAGTTGGGTAGAATAGGCTCCCTAGCCTAGAGTGGTCTAGAAGACTGAATTCAAAGAGAAGACATTGAGAAACTATTTTACTATCTTTCTGAAGAAATCATGACAATTCACAGATAATAAAGGAAAAGAAATCTGTGGAGGGCCACGATCACCTATAGTCCTGAAGTAGAATGGCATAAAAATACTACTACTGGCGACGGTAATGGTGGGTAAAAATGTATTCTTGTTCCTTGCACCGTACAGCATATATTTTCCAGTATTGGAAACTAAAAAAATGGAACACAAGCATTAAAGAATATTAAAGAATAGACTGTGAAACTTGTATTTATTCGTTTTTATAATAAAGGATAATTTCATTTTATTACCCCACTCACAGTGGCTGAAGTATAAAGTCTTAAATCTGAGAGACTTCAATCAGGCAGTAGTCTGTATGTAAGCCAATGTATTTCCACTTGGTGACCATCGAGTATATATTTAATATTATTCACATCATGCCCCCATGCTTCTTTCCCAACCATTGACTTCTCATCTACTTACTATCAAAACATAAGGCATTTGATATTGCATTACTACCTAAACTATTGAATTCACTTCTCACTGAGTGCTTCATGTTTTAGGCTCTGTGCCAAATTAAGCTAAGTTTAATAAATATCTACGTGTATTAGTATTGCAGAACTATATTTAGCAAATTCATCTCACAGACTAAGAGCGGTGAGTTCAGTTAAAGTAAATTATATTGCTAAATATCACTTTTTGTTTATATCTTTGCAAGAGGCATATACCAATATGAATTCTTAAAGATAAAGTATTAATTATATTGTATTTGTAGTATAATCGATGTTTGACCTAAAGTTTAAAAGATAAATCGAGTTAATTAATTTTGCGATTCAGAAAAATAATTTTTCAATAAGGGTCAACGTACAATCATATATATACTAGTTTCCTCGTGCTGCCAAAAAAGACGGTGCATATGAAATTGATATTTTATCTTAAGTCCTAAAAAATATCACGTTTTTATGCGAGTCTTTATTTAAATGCACTTTTATAATCTATAGACTGTTCCATGATGGTGTCAATTTTTCCTCTTCAAATTTAGAAACACCTTGAAATATCCTCCATTGTTATAAAAACACTGCTACCAATCTTGCTAGTGCAATGAAATTACTTTCAGCAGGAAATATGCAATACACTTTGCGTATTTCTTTCTCTCTCTCTCTCTCTATATATATATATAAGGGAGAGATACGCACGCGCACACATGAATGAGAAGGTAAGGGAGATTGGTTCGCAGGAAGATTTGCATGATATTCAATCAAATTTTTGTTGTGCTTAAAAATTGCATCTCTTTCAAATAATGCATCCTTCACAATAAGGAAAAAAACTGCTCCATAACCTTGGCGATGGACGATCATAAATAATGAAAAGAATATTACGACTGGCTAAGCTGCAGTTTGAAAAGCAATTTCACTCATCTAATTTCAAAGGCAGAATTAAGAGAAAAAGAAAAGAAAGAAATTTTGACAAAAAAATGAAAACGTTCAGCTTTTCTAATCAATAAAGATCGGAGAGATTACCAATAAAAACGAGGTGATTTATCAATACAGATGATCCGACAAGTCTGAAGAAATTACAAGAATCTTGTAAATCAATATTCGAATACAGTAACGCGGTTCTGGCAAATTTGACTAGTATATATTAAAGTTAAAGTGTCGATTTTATTGTTGAACATATCCGTATTTTATCCAATCATGTTCAAAATGGCAACCAGAAAATAGTATAACAAAAAGTTTATTTCATTGAAGAATCATAGTAAGTCTATTATCAATATAAATACAAATAGATCATATATAGGATTATACTAAGCTTAGAGAATAGCTACAAGAGCTTAATAATAAATTCCAGCAATTAGATGAAAATTGGGTTAAACTGTAGAAGTGAGGTTGTCCTGTAAAATTCCGTCTGAAGGTTAACCAATAATCGAATCCTGTCGGTCTCTTTTTCTTGTAGTTAAGAATGCCTGAATCAAGTTTTTCTTAGTTTCGGATAAGACGCCTGAGAAATCTTCTAAAAATGCGCGTGTCACCTCCGTCATATTTATATTTGTTGGGAGATAGGAAGCTTAGTAAGTTAATTTGTAGTCTGTTTTCTTCAGCTTTAAGCGGCAGAGGCGGTCCTTTGCTTTTCGGCCTTCCTCTTACTTTTCACGTGACCGATATTACGAGCCCGCCCCATTAAAAAAAGACATCTATCCTGATAAAACGGTCACACCTCATTGCTTTTTAAAACATTCATAAGCTGCACAAGACATCACAAGCATAAAAGTGGCAATGTACTGGCCTTGGTGATTACGCCAATTCTGCAGGTGGTTCTACTTAATTGTGCTTGCCCGTCACCCCCCACTTCGTTTTTCCTTTCGCTCTCTTTCTTCTCCACTCAAAGTTTCTGTTTCTCCTCCTCTTCTCATCATCATTCTCTTTATTTTCATGTGCTCAGTTTACTATTATTTTAGTAATAGTAGCAATAGTACTACCATCACTACTACTAACACCCATCAAGTTTTCACACTGTTAGCTTTCATTAGAGATACAGTGACAAAACATTTTATTGGTCTCTCAAAGGACTTTATTCTTCAGGACGTGGGTGATCATTGCTCTCCACAACTCCCTATCTATTGTAGCTCTTACCGAGTTTCGTTTTTTCACCATCCTTTCAAATCCTTCTGTTATCCATTACACAAGCTCGTTAGGCAGATTACTCACTGCTTTCTAGTGTCCCACTTACCTTCAATATGTCCTGCCTGTGTCAAATTCTCCAAGCCTTCTTTATAGCCATTCTTTGTACTCGTAGCTTTTACATCAATGGCAACAATAAGTTGCTGTTTATTCCAGCACTCTCTAATATTTAATCTTAGTTGGGTTTGTCGTTTACAACATTGATATCACCAGCATTATTTCTAGATGAAGACCGACATTCTATCATATTCTCTCTTTAAATAACTTAATAATAATTGTTGTTACAAATTGAACTCATGAAATTCTATGGATTTGACAAATAAAATTATTCATTGTCTCATTCTTATAATCTTTTCTTAACTTCTACCTGTATTATCTTTCTATTCCTTATAATCTTTGTTGCCTGTTCATTTTAACTGATCAAATTAGGCAGAAAAATTGGTACAATTTGAGAGAAAAGTGACTTACTAAGAATTGTGTAAACTGTCAAGGGCGTTATGACAAACTTATAATTTTCATAGAGAAGAGATATTTTAAAATTCTTTTGGACTTTAAAATTTAAGCATAAGTGACAATTGCACCCATCATTATTGAGGAATATGAAATAGACCCGAAGAGTCTTTATAAAGATAGTTAGAAATCCCATGAAAAAGTAAAATATTTTAAGAAAAATCGTATTGAAAATCGGTAGGAAGACTATTGAAGAGATTTCTTCTTTATCTTCAACAAGAGTTATATAACATAGGTGGTCAAAAATAATTTTAAAAATATGAAGAATAAGAATGGAAGTAGATAGAAAAATGTGTACGACTTTACAGGAATATATAATATATAAGCCGAATATATTTTTTTACTTTATCCATATTTTGTATTCTCATATAATACATTCCCTGATATCAAACACTCAATAAAAGATTCTTGGAAAGACAAGCGGACAAAATGAGCGAAGTTGCAAGGGGAAACTACTTGTGTAGAGATCAAAATTTTAAAAAACAGACAAAATAAAAAAAAAAAATTTCCAAAAATATATTCCATGTCTGGAGATGTCGATTCAATTTTATAGGCTGCAATCCAAGTCCTGAATGATCAGAAACCAAGAATGCAGTCGCTTCTCACAATCATCGCGGTCCACAGGGGGGCTACAGACACTTGTCAAAGAAATGAATAGAGAATAGTCACCACAATTTGTCTGAAATCTGCAATCAAGGATTCGCCCCCACAGGATTCTTTAGGCTGCACAGAACGCTCAATTACTCTTCCTCATAGAAATCATAGCATTGGAGAAGTCGCTCTTGGAATGATATTGGTTCACCATTCCTATTAATAGCCATAAAAGATTTTTCCTGGCATAGTGCTTGAGATGGTTAGGGCACGGTGTAAGCAGGGCGGGATTGACTATTCTCAATAATGTCTACATTGGTCTTGACAGACCGGTCCTGTCGCAGATCAGCTGCCATACTCTTTAAGATCCACTTGAGAGCCTTAGTAGAAGCATGGCGGAATTGCTGGCTTTCGTCTGCTTTTGACAGGGCAATTATAGTTATCACGCTACCAATTAAGAAAGGCCTAAATTGACCAAGTTTAAGTAAAATTGGCAAGAATCACCGAAACACTGATCGCATCAAGCTGTTCTCATCTGACCAATCTATTTGAACCTCCATACATAGGCGAACATGACAAACAAAAGTTTAGAATATTATTCTGCATTACAGACTGTGCGTAGTTAAAATCGCAACGCTTAATCATATAATGTCAATGTAGTGTTCCCAGGATACCCGTTCTGTTATAACGAAATACCATTAATAAAATATTAAATTTCAAGAAAAATAACCATCGTATTTGGCAGACAGATATCATAGATGTATTGATATGCTTATAAGGAGCCGTGAGATAAAATTGATATGGTATAGAATCAAATTAATATAAGTTTAATACAAATATTTCAACTATTTTATTTTTGAGGTAAATATTTGATACATGTCAATCATTATTCAATAATTAAAAGTTTTCATTGGTATTCTTATGATCTTATGCTACTATTTTATGTATTAAAATTTATGCAAACCTTATCAGCATTTTTATGAAGTTTTTACTCATAAAATACATATCGTTAAGTCATCAAAGTATACTTATACAATCTTGCGAGCTTTCTTATAAACTTGCACCAGCCTACAGATATTAGTTTAACTATTCTAACATTCTTTTTCACTTTTTAAATTCTTTATTCATATATTTATTAATTCATAAATGTATTTCCACTAGATTTTTATGACCTTTCTTTATATTTCAAATTGTGTAATCTATCATAAATTAAATATCTAGATTTTAATTTGAAGAATTACTCTATATTTTGAATCTGTTGAAACAAAGAGTGTTAAATGGAATGTAACAAGTGAGTATTCACTGCGCCGAATTTGTAACTTGGGAATTGGCCTTGTCATGAAGCAAATAAATAAATCAATCAACAATGAATTTCTCTGCTCAGAAAATTTTTTTCTGTTGCATGATTCAAATAAGCTAATTGCTCAATATAGCATTGTGTCGTGATATTCTGTTCAGATTGCAACAATAATAAAATAAAGAATTTCATTTGAATCCCAAAGAACATTGAGAAAAGCTATTCTTTCCTCCATCAGACTATTAAAGCTAAATTATTTAAAATTATCCTAGATATGTCTAAAATTTACTTTGCTTCAGATTCTTATTAATAAAGCCATTTCTTATCACCAGGGATTGTCTTAACTTTTTTCACTGTCGAGAAGTAAATTTTAGACAAGTGTATAAATTCGTCTCGTTTATTCGTATGCTTTTGAATTTTGCCTAAGGCTTGTAAACAATTTAGTAAAGTTGATTTATCGTAGAAGCAATGAAGGAAAGATAAAATTTGAAAGAAACTTCAGATTTCCCTAACATGATGCAAAAGATGACGCTTTCAACTTTTGTATCGGCATAATAGCATGTGTACATATACACAGCGGTCGAGTGATAAGATCATGAACAAAAATACACCTTTTTGTTTTTAGCTTGTAATCTCTGATATATCACGAGGAAGAGGGGAAAAAACCACGTTGGATTTTACTATACAAACATAAACTGTGTATACATGACAATTATATAGACAATATGTGCGCATGAATGCAGCAAAAAGAGACACTGGAGAAGAGAATAAAAAAAGAAAACATAGATGCATACTACATGGTCGACTTAAATACGTAGATACTTTACACATACAATATGTGTGTGTGTGTGTGTATGTGTGTGTGTGTGTGTGTGTGTGTGTGTGTATGTGTGTGTGAGTGCGCGTGCTTGCATTCACACACACACACGGAGGTGTTGAAAGTTCTCCACCCAACCAAAAAGTCCATTCCCATCAAAATTTTAATGTTTGGTCATTTGGTCAGATTTAGAGAAATGGCCGAGCCGATATCTTTTCTACAGCATATTATTTATATAATTGTATGTATATGTAATCGTAGAAAGAAAATAGAATCAAAATCTTTATAACTTTCTTTTCTCCATTTTTATATTGTTAAGATATCAAGGACTTATATATATATATATATATATATATATATATATATATATATATATATATATCTCGTAACGTTGCTGCTGGCGAACCCTTAAAATAACTTCATTCCATTCCAATATAAACAGTTTTAGTGCATATCTTCATTCTCAGAGTAGATTTTGTTATTTGTCTTTTCATTCAGTCAAGTTTAAATAAAACATCAGAGCTTTTTCTATTAATTTTAAACAAACAGATTCGACAGAAAAAGAAAATACTATTTCTCTCTGTTAAGATTTGTTACATTTGCATAGACATTTTATAGACTAAATTTAAGAAAGCTAGTATGATACATTAGATATAGGTAAATGTTTACAGAAAAACGAAAATGTTTTCTATTATACACTAAATATCCAAATTAAAAAGAAAAAAGGAGGAGCGGTGAGAATGTTTTCATTTTCTCAATACATACAATGGTACTGAAAAGTTATCGGACTAACCAACTTCACGAAATTATTATTACAACGGCCAAAAAATATTTTTAGAAGGGCTTTTTAATTGAACGGAACAATTTTCAATATCTTTTTAGTTGTTTACGACGTGCGTATGTGTCCATATCCTAGAATAGTAATCCTATGTTTTTCATGCTCAGAAACTTAAATAATATACTGAAATGAATTTATATTAATGTAACTTTTATAAGTAAAGAGACTAAAATAAAAAAATATCTCAGCTCGAAATATAAATTACTCGTTACATTTGATTTAGAACAAGTTCACTTATTTTCGAATTAAACAATCTGAAGTTGCCGTTGTCCTGTTATAAAAGAATTCATCTCAAAGAGAGTCGCAATCCATGGCTCTATGTAAGAATTTGGTAAATATGGGTATTTGAAGAACGACTGTGGAAGAATATTACTAGTAACAGGATATATATTTCACGCATAGATAAAATTCTGTAGCTGCTTTAACTTCGAAACTAGATCCAGTTTTTTGTAGCTATCATAATTTAAGTAACATCTTGGAAAGTCACCCGACTAAGTATGCTTGTATTCTTAGGTATTGCAAAAAAGCTGTTTCGTGTAGCCTCCAAACTATATCTGAACCCACGGCCATCAACTTTTCAATTGAAGATGCTTTGTAGAATATATATATATTTCACATTAAGTTAATATTTTTGTCAATTTTATAAGTAAGCTGGAAAAATATAAAAATTTGATAATACAGAAAACGTGATTGGCAAACTGATTTCGTAATGAAAGCGGGAAGTCGTTGAATTATCTTGGCACAGGGTCCACCATTGTGGAGCACCAAGCTAGAATCAACTTACGAGCGTTCTAACTTCATTTTAAACTCTCTCTTTAATTTAAGTTAATGTAAATGTGATATGAATTCAAATAGAGTTTTAACATGAATATTTATCAGACAGAAGTCTACGGCGATTAATATGCAAGTTTCTATTAATAAACTTTATGTATAACATTGATATTGATATAACATCTTGATATGCATACGACACGTGTAAGTGTGATCGAACTGTGAAGAAATGATAAGTTATAATACTGGGATTAAGAAAATGTAATCCCCCTTTTTCGTTCAACTTTAATTTCAGTCGATCAAATTAACCTTATTTATGGTACAGTCATAAAATTGATTAGGTGCTTCAGGTAAATATATAAAGCAATCATTAAAAATGTCAGTATAGGGAAAATGATTATGTGATTTTTAATAATTCCCTTTTGAATTTATGCATATAAAACGATTGTATCAAAATTAATAAAATATACTGATAAACTGGAAAGAAAACGAGCAAGTGAACGGAGAGACCGAGAGAGGTGGGAAAGAGAGAGACCGAGAGAGGTGGGAAAGAGAGAGAGACCGAGAGAGGTGGGAAAGAGAGAGAGACCGAGAGAGGTGGGAAAGAGAGAGAGACCGAGAGAGGTGGGAAAGAGAGAGAGACCGAGAGAGGTGGGAAAGAGAGAGACCGAGAGAGGTGGGAAGGAGAGAGACCGAGAGAGGTGGGAGAGAGACCGACCGAGAGGTGGGAAAGAGAGAGAGACCGAGAGAGGTGGGAAAGAGAGAGAGACCGAGAGAGGTGGGAAAGAGAGAGACCGAGAGAGGTGGGAAAGAGAGAGACCGAGAGAGGTGGGAAAGAGAGTGACCGAGAGAGGTGGGAAAGAGAGAGAGACAGAGAGAGGTGTGAAAGAGAGAGACCGAGAGGTGGGAAAGAGAGAGAGACCGAGAGAGGTGGGAAGAGAGAGAGACCGAGAGAGGTGGGAAAGAGAGAGAGAGAGGTGGGAAAGAGAGAGACCGAGGTGGGAAAGAGAGAGACCGAGAGAGGTGGGAAAGAGAGAGACCGAGAGAGGTGGGAAAGAGAGAGAGACCGAGAGGTGGGAAAGAGAGAGACCGAGAGAGGTGGGAAAGAGAGAGACCGAGAGAGGTGGGGAAAGAGAGACCGAGAGGTGGGAAAAGAGAGAGACCGAGAGAGGTGGGAAAGAGAGTGACCGAGAGAGGTGGGAAAGAGAGAGAACGTGAAAACGAGAAAGAGTAAAATGTGACAGAACAAATAAGAAGAAGAATAAGCCGAAAAATAAAATACGTAATAATTTTAAAAAAAAAATCAGCAAGAAAAACAATATACCAACCTTTGCAATAATTTCCGAAATGTAATTTTTATTTATTGCATAACTCTTATGAAAATGCATTTAAACGATACATATCATGTTTAAACATTTTATCTTCGTTAATTTGCATGCAGCAACCATAAAACTGGATTTAACATAAAATTATCTTCGCCTTACGTAGGCCTTTTTCTTTTTTTTCTAAATTATAAATCAAAAGTACTTTGACGTCGACACACTTTTCTAATTAACTCCTGCATACTTAGAAGATTATTGCCATTTCTCTGCGTTTGAATTCATAATCTCTATCCCAGTGTAGCGTAAGTATTATTGGATTTGAATTCGTCGAATTATTTTGTATTTCTTATAAGCCTTTATTTCCATTTTTATTTTATTATCAATTATCCGTTTCCTGGAAAAATTAACAACAGACATATCATACCTTTCTGGCGGGTATTGTAAATGTCACCTACTCTTTTTATCTAGGTATACTAATAACAAGACCCTCGTTAATAGGACTGGCGAGTGGGATTCATTCTTTTACTAAAATGATATAATCTGGCTCAACCGAAATGTGGACTGGTTAGAAGGTTTCGTTCTTCAGCCTAACAACACATAAGTCGGATGCTTCTTAAAAATGTTTATCATCAAGCGCCCAAACTGACAATAGAGATAAACGTACTAAAAAAAATGTGCGATATTAAACCTATTTCCCTTAGTGGATTGTTTCTTAAGGTATATTTACTGACATGAAACTATAGGGTATATGTATTGAACATTTTTACCAACAATCCTGTTTAGTGTATCATTTTGGACAGATTTTTAGAAATATTTTTCGAGATATGGATTTGGCAGAGATCCATTCATATGATTTCTCAGCTGTTGCTTCTATAACATTATAATAAAGAATCAATATAGATATTATACGCCCACGCGAGATGTTGCATATAATTTCGGGAAATATTTACCATGAATTTATCCTAACATCTACTTTCCATAATCAACTTCAAATTAAAACCATTGCGAGCAACCACAAAAGCTAAAAGATTCTACTGGCAAAACTACTTACAATATTTGGTTAAAATACTTTTTGATGGCACGTTTATAGGACTTTCAACAGCTAAAATGGATATCACATGTAACTCGAAGAGAAATTAATGACCTAATCAAGATGTTGACATTCCACAATACTTCAAATATCAGAAAGGAAAGCCCCCCTCAGAACTGGGAAGAGCAGTTTCAGCTACTGAATTTGAAAAACCTATTTTCCTGAAAAAATTTTTTTAAAGATTTTATAAATTTCAACCGACACTAACACAATCTACTCAGTCATTGATTGCCGTATGTTTCCTCATAAGGAAACGGCTATGAGGAGGAGATTTTTTTTTATTTAGAAAATTAAATAGATTGCCTTGATGCCATGTCCCTTCAGGTGGTAGGCATTATGGTTCTTCACAGATTTCTTTTTAATATTTGTGAATTACTAGGTGTTATTTGCAAAATATAGGCTAGTGTCTTCACTGTTTGGAGTTCACAATATCCCATTCCTAGACTTGGATGCCACTCAACACTATTCTACCTTTTCTATTGAACGCGTGAAAAGGAGAAATGGATTCATGCCATTTTTTCAAGGCCATTATGTGAAAGTGACCGTAACAGACTAGTCTAGAATTTGAACTCGGCTCGCTGATTCCATTTTCTTCGCTGATAACGGTTACGCTAGTGTTCGCGAAAACATACACACACGCACATACACATCCAAAGCTATTTTCCAAACAGAATGTAGATATGTACTGAAAATTTTTTCAAGTGTAAAAAAAAAAAGAAAAGAAAATTATAAAATTTGGAAATAATTTATCTATTGCTTTACTGACCTGCTCTGTTAGACTGATCTATCATAGGCTGGACAATTCTTCTCCTTGCATTGATAAACCTGAAAAACAAGCAAAAAATTGATATACGTTACCTATTTCTGGTGAAATAAAGCTTATACACTGACATGCATACATAAAATCAAAATGTATCTAAAAAGAATTATTATGCATTATTTCAATAAGTTATATAGTTTTCAAAAATAAGTTTTTTTAAAAATATTGTTTTATAAAATAAAATAAAATCCTACAGAATCAATGAATAGTGGCAGTTGTTGCAAGGATAAGGAAAGTATTTCACAAATGGTGTCCGCATATTTAACATATTTTAATATTATGATTATCATAATGGTTATCAAATTCATCAAGGAAACATTTTAAAACAGGAGATACAAACTATATAGGAATTAACCCTGGCTTGTATATTTTGCGGAATTTTCTTAAGATTTTTAAAATATATAGAAAATAAACTTCCATATTATAGCTTACAAAAATATCGGAGCAAACTAGAGGCCAGACAAATATCTAAGGGGGACTATTGACTCCCTATTACACCACACGTAAAAATCGTCAATGGTGGTCGTTTCGTAGTATGTTTTAATCATCATCCACATTAAATAAAAACACAGTTGTTAGTTGGAAGAGAAGAAATATTCACATGTATTCTTTCAAATACATATGCAGTTTATTTTGTTCCAGGAAAAATACGTTTAATTTTTATTACAGAGGTCAACGTGAATTAAACTTAAATACATAAACAAGTGTAAATAATTATATATTCTCGAATAGATAGGAACTGATACAGACGTGAGCTTATCACTCAAATTAGCATATAGAAGAATTATAATAAAAAAGCGACTAATCACACAGCAAATGAATATATTCATTTTTCAGTGTAATCATCTTTGTCAATACAGTCAATGCTTCTCTATTTGATTATTTCGAATAATTATTGCACAAAGTATATAGAAAGTAATGTATTTTTATTAATCCGACAATTTTACATCAGCATTATTTGTAGTGAATACTTGTATCTTAGTACACAATCCGTTAATTTGTGAAACAGTATATTTATTTATTTATTTATTTTCGTCTATAGGTCTGAATGTTCGAACCTGCGTCCTTCTGGGCAGAGAGAATAACTGTTAGATTTGGTAAGCTCTGACCAACTGAGCTATAAATAATCAATCGGTCGCGCAAAGCCAAAATTGGACCCTTAAGTGAAACTTCTCTAGTCATACATAGATTCCCCGAAATTTTTCATATCTGCACTTTTGTATTCAAATGTAAACAAAGCGATTTTTCTAAAGAAAGTAAAATAAATATACAGTTGAATAAATAAACGCTTAAAGTGATATAAAACAAAAATATATATCTACCTACAATTTTGTTTCAGTTTATCATTGGTTAAAACCTAAACAGAAAGGTCATTTAGCAAACGTGATAACTTGCATATTCGGGGTCAGACGAATATGATGACGAAAATACAAGCTGTACAGAAGTTTCTAGAGTATCCAATTTCTCAGAAGAAGAAAAAAAAAGTGTATGTTTACAGAGACATCTGAAGACATTTTTATACTAAAATAAAACGGAAGTGAGAGCGTTACTAGTTGTCTCTTTTGCAGTCAATACTGAATCAATTTAAATTATATCGAGTGAAACCAAAATATTTCAGAGTGCGTTTTTAAAGAGGTATTGAATCAAATATTTCACAGGGAAAATTTCTTTTGGTAATAACATATTTAAATCATATTATCCCATAATAATGACAAACACATTCGTACACGAACACGATGTGTGCTGGAAAATTGTCGGCCGACCCACTTCCCAACATCTGATTAAGTGAGCAAACAATTTAATTTGGCAACGAATCTCTGTCGTAAAGAGTTTTTCAGCACCCTCTTGCTTCTCTCCTTCTCTCATATATATATATATATATATATATATATATATATATATATATATATTATATGTGTGTGTGTGTGCGTGTAATGTATATTTGGGTGTAAGAAGCGTTTGGTTATGTGACAGTCAAGGAAATTATGTTAAAAATATTTTTTGTATTTTTCTTACGTAAAATAAAAGATTTTCATCCTGTTACTGATTTACCTACGTTATGAGGTGGGTCTAAAAAGTTCTCTACCTCACCAAGAATTACTTCGAGTCATGAACTGTACATACTATTTCGCATATTATCCCTGTAGTTCAACAACACATTTATAATATTGTTTCTGAAGTTTCTTCCTATCAAAATTCTTGATACTGATTCTGAGATATGGACTGGACCGAGAACTTTTCAACATCCACTCGTGTGTGTGTGTGTGTGTGTGTGTGTGTGTGTATGGGCGTCTCTTTGTAATTTTTTCAAATTAATTTTCTTTATAGTGTAATATAGTTACATATAGTAAAATAAGATAAGCCATTCAGACACTTTTGCAAAACAATTTACTAACATACAGGTAAATCACATATGTAAATAAAACCGTCTAGCTCAAGGAAATTATGTTGTATGTATATTTTTGCCTTTAAAATCTGTGTTAATATTGACATTAGGTGGGCACCTCGGCATGGTGTAACAATAAACAAGATAGATTGATCATTACCACTGAACAGTGAGTTCGATCATCAGTGAGTACCTCATGCCTGCGGTCTTGTGCCAAAACTAGACAAAACTTAGTAAATATTATTTATATTCAGTTTAGATTTAAAATGTTATTACAAGTGAATTTTGAAAAGTTAACATTTCCATCCATTTTCCAAAATATAAGTGTCATTTTGTTAATGAAGCTGGAAAGAATGTTCGTTTTATGTTGTAAAGTGCTTATTTGCAGGATCTTTGCGCTTATTTATTTATTTTTTTTGTTTCAGATCACTGACTAGGTCAACTAAAAGAGTGAAATTTTCAAATGCTGAAATCCAGACAGCCATTAAATCCCTGTTCCTGTAGAAGAAAACTCCAAAAGAAATCAAAGAGCGTATTATGCAGATATTGAGTGACAAGTGCCCAACATACTAAACTGTAAAGGGAACTTTTCAGACCCAAGATGCAGTATTCTCAGCAAGTGTTTCAATGGGGTCAACTGTATGACCTAATGTAAGTCACAAACGACGAACTTTATCCCAAATTGCTGAAAAACTTGAGATATGTAGAGAATCCACTAAGTTTCTACTTCATAAGCAGTTGGATATGTAGGCCGTGTCAACTAAGTGATTGTTCAAATGTTTGAACGACGACTAAAAACTGTATCGAGATAATTTTGTAGCATTTTCAGTGATTTTGGATTGAATTCACATTGTTAATGATATATGGTTCTCCATTATGATCCGAAGACCAATCAACAGTCCAAGCAATGGCAGCACTCAGGTTCTCCACGTCTGAAGGGAAGCCGCGAAAGATGTTCCTTTATACAAAACAATACACTAGTTCATATGACGATGGATATTTAACAGAACGTGGGTTTTATTGCATAGACCTTACTCAATTTTGCTCCAAATAACTATTTTCTGTTTCAAATCCTAAAAGGAACCTTGAAAGTGATAATGATTTGAAGATGATAACTACATAGAATTATTTTATGATTGAAAGGCTGAAGAAAATTGAAAAAAGATATGTAGTTATATAAAAATGTCCTATAATCGTTATTACATCTAACGTCTATACAAATATAACTACCAAAAATGGGATGCAGAAATATTCTCGACCCAAACCACTTCTGAAATTTCAAGCCAAATGACCAGAATTTTAATACCTTCTTGGTCGGATCGAGAACTTTTCAGTGTTCTCTTGTATAATGGTATAGAGGGATTTTTTTTTTTTAACACAACGGGTTTTAAATCCAGCAGATTTTCTTTTTCATATTTACTATTGGACTATGCAGATTTTATTCATATTGTTTTCACTTGAATTTTCTAAAAAATTAAAATAGTAATTTTTATTTTTTGATTTGTGTCGCTAATGAAGTTAGCAGTGATAAGAACAGTTTGGCTGATGTTGTGTCCTCTTTCCCGCCATACCTATTTAATTGCTTCCTTTGGGACTTAAAAAAAAGAGGGATTCTCGATATCATATTGGTCCCTATAATTATTATCTCTTGTTGTCTCCGAGGGGCCAGCCTATTAAGATCATGCTCTGTTCTTCTTTAAGGAAGCAGGGGGTGAGGCCGGCCCGGATATCTCTTGTAGAAGTTTGGTAAAAGAGTGGGTGGGAAACTAGAATTGAAAGATAAAGAAACACCCTGGGAAAGTGAATGATAGCAAAGACATTGTCATAGATTAGCAAAATACACATGTGTGCGCGTGTGCGCACGAATGACTGTGTTGCGTACGAGTGAATTTTATTTAATGCAAGTTCAAGAACATGCAAATGTTTAAAAGTGAGAGAGATGTTGCATGAAGTCCAGTAAATAAAAAGAAAAGAGGACGTGAGAACAGTCAGTAATAGTGAGAGGGCAGGGAAACAGAAAAATAAAGGAAAAAAGATTAAGTAGGAAGGCAAATAAGAGCAATATGGGGAGATATTTAAAAGATAGAGTAAAAGAAGAAAGACAGTGAGAAAGACTGAGAGGTAGAAATAGATAGAGTTAAAGAAAGAGATAGCGATGGAAAGAATCAGAAGGAAGAGAGATAAATTGTTGTTTAAAATTAATTAAATGAGAGAGAGAGATTAATTGCATAAAAATGAAAGATGATAGAAAGTAGCATATAAAAGAAGGAGAGAAACAGTAATGTAAAATTTGAAAATAAAGATCTGTATAGAAACAAAACAAGATGGAAAGAGAGAGGAGTGTATGAAAGAAAGCGAGTGGGTAAGTGAAAGACCTGGATACAAAAGTGAGATGCATATTATAGAAAGAAAGAATGGAGGAAAGAGAATGGGGAAGTTGTCTACAAGAGAAAGAGAGAGAAAGTGAGCAAGTTGCGTATCTTACAGTCTCAACATTAAATTTGGTTGCAAGGGTAATAAATAATTCTAGTGACGGCTCCCTTTTCGTTTCGTTGCCATGGAGATATCAGAATTTAAATTCTGATAGGAGATTGAAAAGAAAGAAAAGTAGGGGAAATCGTAACGAAAATGCACAAGAGACGAGGAAATGGAAGAAAAGTTCAGAGAAACTGGTGGTAGGGTTGGAGAGTATGATCAGCTCCGGTGTCCGCCATCTTTTGCATTAAAATGCTGAAACAAAATGACAGTGTGAAGATAAAGAATAGGATAGACGCTGTAGCCTCTCCTTTGACTTGAGGAACACGATGCCATCCAAAATGTCGTATATTTGACAAAGCATTAAATGGTTCTCAAAGATATATCCCTCTACACTAGTGATTAGTCTACGAGAAGAGATAGCAGAATATCGGGTTAGGTACTCTTACTTGCGATTAATACTAAGTTCAACATAGTCTGGCGCAAGAACATAATAGTGACTCATTCTAGACACTCGAACTCATTACAGAAGTGAGCAAGGCTGCAATACATGGTTGCTAATCAATGTTAAATGAGTTATTTACTAAAATTTTCTTAGAATGACTCTAAACAACGAAGTCGAATTAATTACACAAGCGAGTGATGTAGGTTCGGTAATATATAAATATATATTACGTTTCATATTATTAACCATTTTAGATATTCATAAATTTCAGAAACATTATAAATGTGGAAACGTTTTTATGAATTTTACCGAATTGTTCAAATTTCATATTATTAGCTAAGTTACTTAAAATCAAAGAAACATTAATTTTTAATCAGTATCACCCCATGCCAGGCAGTAAGGCAACTAAGACACAAGGCTTACAGGATGTGGAAGAATTAGGAACAGAAATCATGTGCAGGAATAGGAAAGAGTAATCAGGAGGGCAGAAAATAGCGATTGACACTGAATTTTAAATTTTGCAGATTAAAGTTGGCTGGAAAGCATGGAAAGTTCCATATGCGAGAAAAGATACTGTTAGCATAGAACTTATGGTTACGTCTAGCCAGCTCAGCTGCAACTTGATGAGATCTCGACTGCACTTAAATTCAAAAAGTCTAGTTAACATAGCGAAGAACTCAACCGAAAAATTACCATGAAATTATTTATAAAATAGACAGAGAGGCAACTTTTCGGCGATGGATAAGTGAATGAAGCCGAGCCGCCAGATCAGGACCAATAATATTGCTAATTCTTCTTTGGATTATGAGCTATTGTATTTATTCATATGAAACAGACTGCACATTATCCAGATTAGCACTGCAAATTTTATCATCGCTGATAAATTGACTTTCGCCAATGTAAACCTTCCTTTTCATAACGCTCCACAAAATGTAAACCTAGGTCAATAAAGCGGACTGTCATCAAATTAGTGTATTTGAAACCTATTTATTTTTATTACCGAATGTGGAAGAACATTGATGAGCATAAATAGCACGTTTCCGAAAGAATGTTTTTCTTCTACAATATATGTTGAGCTATTCTTCAAGCAAATTAAAAATATTATTTCTAAGGATGGGCTTAAAGAAAAAAAAAATCACAGTATGTCATTCACAATAACCAAGCGACTACATATTTCACGCAGAGGTTTTTCTTTTTTTCTTTTTTGCAAAACCACGCATCACCCAAGTCTGCACAATTCCCGTCCAGATTCGGTTTCTTGCCAATTGTGGTTATTGAAAAGCAGAAAATTTCAAACCGTGGACGAAAATTGGGAGAATGCAAATAAATAGTTGATATTGATCCCAAAACACAAATCTGCAGAGGTTTTAAAAAATGGAAACTATGCTGAGTGAACAGAGTAAAAGTTCAAGGGAAGTAATTCAAAAGGGACTGAATTTCTATTAACCTAGGTGGGTTATTTTCAATAGTTAGATCATTTCCATACAAACTTAATTGTTTTTGAAAAGAAGGCTATATTATAGAAAATGAACATAGTGGATAGCTTATCGATAAGAATGTAGAGAATGTAATCATTATTCTATGCATTTAGTTTGTTATATTCTTTCGTTGTTTCTGACGGAATGTTTTGATCTTCAGGTGTTTGCTAAATACTTTAGAATATTTTAAAATAATTTTCAACCCACAATAAATCTGCAGTCTAAGAAAGAAGTATGAATACAAAAGTGTTAATGCCAACACAAGAAGAATTCTTATCAAAGGATTAAGTAGATCTTGTTAAAACAATACAAGAGGGAAAATACGTCGAATCGTAAGAACATTTAACATTCACGGATACACTTGCTGGATTTTAACAAGTGCCACAGGGAAAAAGCTGACTCTAGCCTTTTGTATATTACTTTAAATAAAAACAATGAACGCATATGCGCATTAGAAACAGTACACAATATGCCACAAGACGTCCATGTGCATCAGGTTGCAGTGATCGTAACAGAGGTTTTTCTCAACTTAAAAATTATAAACCATTGTTTGAAAAATACTAGAAGAATAAAGCGATTTTTTATTGACATTGGTGGTAAAAAGATTCATTTACATTTAAGGATTATGGAGTTAGTCATGGTACAAGTACTGGTAGTGAACAATATCTGGGTAAATATTAATCAAACAGATGACTCGACTTTGCATATAAAACAAGAATATATTTTTCAGCCATTTCAGGGGGTATTTTATAATGGCTGACCGCTCGTTTTTGTGTATACCTGAATTCTCCCCACCCCTATTGCAGACACCTGGCCATGCACATTTATGTTTGAAGAAACACTCACATAGTCTACCTGTAGTTTATATCGCAGCTATACTGAACTGACAGTTTCTGAGAGAAAGCACATCATCTAGTGTGATCAACATGTTGAAAAAGTCCAGCTTGCTCAAACCCACGATCACGATGACTTGTAACATCCAGCTCACACAACCATCGACGAAGAATACTGTCTACCCAAATTTACTCACTTGATTTGGGTCAAAAAACGGTGCCGCACACTCGGATCGCTTCCCCACGCCGGTAACATTTGTAGACAACTTTAAGAAATATTATTATGAAATTTTCGCTCATGTCCGGAAGCCTTTCCTTTGCCAATACTAATATGGTTTTCTAATCATGTTTCATAACTAACATTTTGTGCTTATTTTGTTTCATTGACATTCAAAATATTAGGCGTGGGGAGTGGGGATTGGATTACATTTTATTTTGAAATGTATAGACAATTTCCAAGAGGGAAAAGGAAGAAGAAAAGTAAAGAGAGAAGAACAAAGATGGGAAGAAAGATCAGAGAGGAGAAAAATGAGAAATAAAGAGAGGTAGTGGGGTAGAAACAGGAGAAAGAGAAGAGTGGGATAAACATAGAAAAAAAGAGAGAAAGCAAACAGGGAAAAAGGAAGAGGAAAGAGATAAGGCGATGAAAGGTTAGAGAGGGGAAAGGATAAGATGAAAAAAATGGAAAATGGAGAAATAGAGACATACATAAAGTAATACTAACGGTTAAACATGCAGATAAAAAAGTGATTTTCCAAATACCAATCATCCCCAACAGCACACTAAGCAAATGAAGACCACGTAACAGCGAGGTTTTTCATCACGTGATCTACCTCTCTGCTTCTCCAAAATTATAGCGAAAGTGGACGCGCATACAAACGCATGTTCGCAGTTCAGCGAGCCGTCACCTTTACTTGTTCATAGGTCAGATCTCCTGAAAGTAGAGATAGCCACTTCCTACATCCTGTAACTAATCCTATCTAATCCATTATTAATGACAAGTCGAGTTAGAATGTTTAGTAACATTTGCCGAGTTGTCAGTGCAGTTGGCTGTCGGAATTGCAACAGTCCATTGCTAGAGTCTTGTGTGGAGCTAGGGTGGACCATTTTGGTGTTCAGGTAAGCCACACTAAAGATCGCAAACTGGATTCTCTCCCCTTGCCACATACCTTGTTTTACTTCTGCATATTTTGTCCTTTTACAATCTTCAGTCTTCCTATAAACTCGACATTTAGATCTACATTCAGACAACTAGTGCTTGGTTATAATCTGCTACTGTGAGTTATATACCTGTTCTTTCCAAATTTCTTAAATATTTTTATCAAAAAATTATTAAAATCTATGATTTTATGAGAAAAGCGCCTAAAACGGAATCAGTAGAAAGAATTCAAATTTCATCAGAAGTTGGTTATGTTTATTTCGCAATATTTTGTTTTGTGAAAGGCATGAATCCACCTCTTTCATCGACAAGTATCTCATCATAAATCTGTCACGACTGTTATTACAGAAGAGAATGGGTAAGCGAGTATATGAGTAAACCACTCTCCCATAATATACAAGCAATAGGAGCAAAAATGTTGTTTTATCTATATTAGGACCAATAAGACATGCGAAGTAGCGTAAGGAAAATTTCTCAAGTGAATTCGAATTCCAATTTCGGCAATATAAATCACTTCTACACTAACGCATGTAATAAAGGCATGAATTCATTTCTCCCTACTTTGTGTCGTGTTGCTACTCATTATGAGCATGGTCTTGTCTTCAACGGAATAAACAAAAAGTAAGTTACTTAATTCTCCTTAAATTACTTTACTTGCTATATTGGTAGCTTTTTATTTCAATAATAGACTGCATTAGTATGATATGTGAAAACCAATTAATTTCTATACTAGAATATTATCTTTAGCAATAGTAGTACTAAGAACATTGTTATATTTACTTCGCGTCAAAATATGAAAAGAGAATATTATTTTAAATACATTCTATAATAAAAATAATTTACAATACATACTGATATGTAATGATTATAAGGAATAAAACTTTTAATAAAAACGACTAATTTAATAAATCCTACGCGTGATATCAAGAGTGACACTCACACACACAAAGGGTGGGAACTGAAATTTGTCGAACTAATGAAGGTCTACTGAAAAAGATAAATAAAATTATTACACTTTGGTCATTTGATCAGATTTTGAGAAGTGGTTTAAAGCGAGAACTTTTAGCACGCCCTCATCCGATATATATATATATATATATGTAAAATCGTGCTGATTTCTTGATAACTATGCTGACAAAGCAATAACCTAGAAAAATAGGCACGAATGTTTAGATTGACTTTAAGCACACCAGAGAGAGGCCAATAAGACAAAAATGGGACAGTGGGGACGCTCACTTGGGCAATATATCATTTCCTATCATTGCCTTCAAATTCCTCTCCAAAGAAGATAATGAAATTGAAACTGATTTAGCACTATATATTGTATGAAGATTGTGCTCTGCAGTGTTTTGCTTTATATGTGAAAGAGTAGGAAGGGTTTTGCTGGGAGCGTTTAAATCATAAGTGAAAGAATCTCGTGTCTTTATGATTGCAAATGATAATGCGTGAATTGTGTGCCTGAAGTTCACTTTCGTCTACATTTTGCATTGCATTAATTTATAAAAAATAACAGTGCCACTTGCACTTTGGTCCGTGAGACTACAGACGAAAAAGACCGTCTATATGTCAAGTGGAGCATTGATCAAACATTATTTTCTCAATATGTAATTTCTCTCTCAAACATCCAAATGTTTCCCTTTCTCTTTGATACCCTTTTTTTTTCTCCCGAACCGAATTTGCCCAACTATTATTAATTGCTCTATCCACCTCACAACAATCCTTTTTTTCACACATTCATTATCTTTTTCCTCGTTTTTTTCAAAGAAAAACACCAACGTTGTCTCTCTTTTCTTCAATTGTCATAAAAAAATTGATGTGGGGTGCCTTCATAATAGAGTAGGGGTTAACAATGTAGTGCACTAGTGAGTACGAAACTAAGTAGATGACCTACTACTATGATTTTGTGTCTAAACAAAGTCGAGTACATATTTAGTATTCTGTTACTGTGAATACTATCCTTACAGAGAGCTATGTTATTCAACCAAAGTAAGCTTTATAAAGAGGCATTTGTTGCAGCTGGTATTGTTAGCGAGTTCGATCTTTACTAGGCACCTCGTTATTTTTGCTTTGTACTAGATTCTTGGTAAATAGACTTTTGATATTTTGTTAGAATTTGTTTTATTTTTCTCGTATTTTTGTTTTACTTTCATTTTCAGTCATTAGAATACTAGGTTCTTCAATGAATTTAATTGCCATAATGATCTATTTGTCTCTCAGCCATATTTGTTAGTGTCTTATTGTAATGCATTGGTCCAGCGCGCTAGAGAAATGTCACATTCCTCACCATGAACGATAAAGGGAAAGATTTGTGGAAGGCCGACGTCCAACAAAGAACTTTCACAATTAAAAAAGAAAAAACAAAAAGCATTGTAAACCTTACATTTTTCTTTATGATATGAATTATATGGCAAAAATGCTGAGAAACCTTTTTTTGTCTTGCGCTATTAATTAAACAACTATTTCAAATTTCTTCTACCTTGTTAGGCTGAAAATTATATTCCACTCACTCTCTGTATGTTTGTTCAATAAGTTAGAACTTTAGGAAGAAATGTTCCACCATTTAAGATTTGTGGATTGTAAAAGATACGAATAACTGTCTAGTGGCAACCGCCAGCGAGTCTGTCAGAAGTGAATAATTCAGATAAATGAAGTGAATAATTCAGAAGTGATAATTCAGACTAAACAATGAAAAACTCAGCACAGTGTATCATTGCGAAAAGCTATAGTTTTTAGTTTGTTTTTAAAGGGAAATAATTTCTCTTCAGTGATAGTATTCAGAAAAAAAATCAGTGTTTTTTCATAAACCGATAAAAAGAAATAGCTTAAACAAATGAAAAAAAGAAGAGAACAGAATTCTGTTGTAACCGAAGAAAAAAATGAGGTTAAATCATTATGAACTATTGTCATATGTATATCGTATATACTTGTGTATAAGTCGACTTTATGTATAGTTAGACACCTGCAAATTTGGCATGAATTTTAACCCCTCCAGAAATAATTACCTGCGTATGGTGCAACCAGTCAGTGAAAATGCATGATTTTTAACGTCTTCATAAAAATTACCTGTGTATAGTACGACCCTCTATTTTTCGCGTAAAAATGATCATAAAACTCGCACTATATATATATATATATATATATATATATAAGGAAAATAAAAATTCCCAATGTTTCCACTTAGAAAAGAAAATCTTTAGTGGAAAAGTGAATATTGGAAAATAGTTATAAGAAATATAGAGACTCCATAAAAAAATGTGAAAAATTTTTTGATGCTTACCAGAGAAATAATTCACAAGCTAGACATGCAGATCAAATATTGGTGCAATTATTCGACATCATCAGGTATCAGCCACTGTTTTAGTCATGTACTATACTAAGTAAATATCAAAACGACCGCGACTGTAGAGCGATGATTAACAAGTTTATTTAGCAGATTAATACATATGCAGTGAGTTATATCCTCGTGGGAAGCCTTGAAATTGCTGACCTGTATTAAAATTAAGTAATCTTAGGATTAAAATCTTGTGTTTATCTGGTACTAGGCATAAGAAAATGAATATTATTCATTGTATATAGAGAAAGACTGATTAAAATTACTTCAATCAATGCTTTTCTCTGTATATAGTGTATATTTTTGATAAAATATATAGGATATCTTCTGCATTTCATTATACAGCATAGTTTGCTATCTATAAATAATTTCCTATCAGATTTAATAATACTGCCATATTTAAACACGAGCAAAAAATAAAACAGTATTTTCCTTATTTTTCAATTGATACTGACAGGATAAATTGAAGGCAAGCGGGTCAGAGGAAATCAGTACTACTACTTAGTGTGTTTGTGTAAATGATAGCCAGAATAGGGATTAGGAGAGATAACAAAAAGACAAACTATACCAAGGTTTACAAAGGACAGGAAGTTGTGGAGAGCCATGATCGCCCATATCCTGAGTGAGCACGACACACAGGAGGAGGAGGATAGAAATTATCATGTGGCTGCTTCAATCAAAGGCAGGAAAAAAAGAAAAAAAACTTAATCTTTACAAGTACCAAACTTTAATTTACCGTTTAATGGGGACCATTCGACCATACTAATTCGATCAAATAAAAAAAAATACGATGTTAACAATAAAAATGGACGAAATCATATTCATAATATTTCCCAACTTACAGCCATATCATGTTGAAGCAATTGTTCTCGCCAAATCACCGAAGTTAACATCGAACCTGGTCAGTTCCTAGATGGGTGAAATCTTGGAAGTACCAGCTGCTGTAAGCTTGGGTGTATAGGTGGTATGATGGATAAAAGCTCTGAATGAGAAGTCGCAGAGTCGAATTCGAACCCCAGCCGCGTTACATTACACTTATACGCAGAAAAATATGAATCTATCACTTCTCCACTCCAAGTTATGAGTTAAATAGTAGATAGACTAGGTCTTATAGCCTTGGTTGGCAGCCAAGCTCCTGCAAAAATTAACGTCAGCCAAGTGGGGGAATTCTGCCAAGTCAGTTATGAATTGAAAAGAGATAGGATCGCCAAAATATCCACCATACATGGCATCCAAGGAAGAAGTATTTCCCAAAATAGAACACATCATGTTTTAAATCTTAGACGCAGAGTAAACGATAAAAATGTACCCTATGTCTTAGAGGTTCAATATTACATTTATAGTTTTCCTTCAATTATAGAGAAATAACTGATACTTTTCCCAAACTTTCACTGGATAAATTATAAATATTTAATGCTAGAACAATATATGTTTGTAGCCCTGGCAAAGTATATACTATACAGCTAATGAAAGGATGGTGGAGTTTAAAACATCAGTTATCTTGACTGCGTTCGGATTTCACAGAACAATTTCTAAAAGGTTAAAATGTGCCTCTTGCAATAATGTTAGCTGTTTAAAACATTTTTCTGATTTAGAAATCGAACTTATCAGATTTGTTATCTTTTTTGTAGGATAACAGACTAGGTTGTATTCAAGTGATAAAGCAAATTTTATGTAAAAATTTCCCAACATGGCAGTCATATTCAATACGATTCGTATTAAAAGAGTAGCGTGATAAATTAGTGTTTTCTTAAACAAAAATTTAACTAATATAAGGCTCGAGGGCTACTTAAGGTAGAGGATTACTGAATGTATGCTATGTGAATGCAAGAGGTGGTGGTAGGACTGTGAAGACTGTGAGGCTAGGAAGAATAGACAAACTCTTCACATCAAGGGTCAATCATTAAGATTGTAGTGTTCCGATAGCATTTGAATTTCCTAATCATTTTATTGTAAGTTTAGGGGTTCCAACCGCTATGGGAAAATGCTGCATTATCCAAATAATTAGCACCCGTAAATATTAGAAGGATTGCATATTTCACCGTGAATATATATTTTTCTGAATTGGTATTTTCTATGAGAGAAAGACAAAAATTAGATGAATAAGAAAATATAAGAGGAAAAATCTTTCTATTTGACATAGACACGCCAAAAACTATGATTTGAGCGCTAGTAAGATGCTGTGAGAAAAAGTAAACATAACACAAATTACCGAAAGAATTCCTGAAAATCCCCCCTCTGTGGCAGTCTGGGTGGTGGGTGTAGGAGCAAGATTTTTCTTAGAGGCAGCGGTTAGCGGCCGCGCCGAGACTGTCTATGAGACAAGCCGGCTTCCTGTTCACCACATCGTTCCAATTAGAAAGAAGATGTGGGGGTCAGATGAAACCATTCGAAGAATGAGGAAAACTAACCCCTCTGGCTGAGAGAGATACTTCCCTTTAGTTTTGAAATAGCTACACTCTTTGCCACAGGGTCGGTCGCACGGCTGTTCACTATGCGCCCTCAGGGGAAAAAGAGAGGGAAAAAAATTCTCAGAAATGGTATTTAGTTGAAAATAACTGGCGTAAGGTGTAGTAACTTACAGATTAGAGGTAGTGATACAGAAATTTTCTTTGGGATCCGGTTCTTGTCTAATATTTCCGTTCCTGATTATCCGCATTTTTGTTCAATTCCCACAAGTTGCATCCTAAAATATATACGTCAAATATCCTTCAGGATGTGAGCAACCATGACTCTCCACATTTTCCCATCTTTTGTTGTTCTCAGTAACCCTTCTGTCAACTGTTTCTTTGTGGTGCTTGTTACTTTAGCTATTTGCATAAATTTTCCAATAGGCTACCCTCTGCTTTCTACTGTATCTCGTTCCTTCAATAATGCCCTGTTCGTGTTAATTTTTTAAACCTTCTTTCCTCAATGTGTTCAAAGAATTTCAACTGTCTCTTTATAATTTCTATTATCCTTAAAAGTTCATTTACCACCTATTCTGTCAGGGTTATTCCCAATATTCAATGTTATAACAACAACACAGCTGCCTCAAGTCTTTTTGACGAAATTGTCCAATATTCAGTTCGTATAGGAGATTAAACATCAAATAATAATTTTTTTGTTCGTTTTAATGTCATTTATTGATCGCTTAATAGCTTACTTGGGTTTTTGAAAAAGATCATTCGTGTGTCAAAGTACAAGGGGTATATGTATGGTACATTAATCGCATAAACCATTGTGTGTGTGTGTGCTCGATTTTGACTTTGGTATAGAAACCTTATGTTAAAGTTTGCTTTGACCAACAAACGACTTTCTTTTACCAACAGAAAAATAATTTCACTTTAAAATATTAACATTTTTCTAGCTTTCCAAAACGAGTCTCTCTTTTATACAGTTAAATTTCTAGACAAAAATATACAATAGTTTTTTAAATTAGTTTTAGTTCTATAAGCAATTTAATATTCAGCTTTAAAGACATCAAGATTTATTTGAAAAATACTGATTATTCCCTCATCACATAAATTTGTGGATACCAAATTATCTTTGCAATGCTTAATTGATATTTGTATTTGTAAATTCTTTCTTAAATACTTATATCAAATTTTTTTATTTGGGGTGGGTATACTCAAATTCTTAGCTATGATATTGAAAAGTGTTTCTACGTACATATACACATTTAATGATTTTTTTTTTCTTGGTGATATTTAACACTGTTTAAAAGCAATCTTATTTTTGCTCAGATCATTTTTTGTCTTTATAAAACTTAAGTCCTTTCAAAACGACGCGAGGAAATATGCCAAAAACTATTTCTGAGAAGAGGTACTCTTTGAAGCGACGCTGAGCAAGCTAGTCTCACTAATTATCGATACTGTACGAAGTTCGATCTTTATTAGATGTTCCACTGTGTAGCCTTGTGTCGGACTAAGTAAATACTTGTAAACTCAAATCAAAATACATTGAAAACTTGAGGCAAACGAAAGCCTCTGTTTTAAAAGGATTAGACAAAGAAATTACTTTAAAAATATTAAATAGAAATATTAGAATTCGAACAGAGAAAATACCGTTAGTTTCATAAATACAGACGTCAGAACTCTGTAAATGCAGAAGTTATCGAATTTGCAAGTCTAGATACTAACATAATTACTTTTAATGTCGTTTATACGACAGATGAACAAACCAACCAATATTTATAAATTTAAAAATCATCCTCATAACATTACCTGCATTCAAAGAAGATTAAAGTAACTCGGAAAAACATTCTTGTCGCTAAGCAATGTTTGATTACAAATTAATGTTTTCCTTAATTTTGCTAATATTTCTATAAGCATTTAATATTCTTACCATCTTGAAAATATTCTTATTATCTCGAAGCATATTTTCCAGAGATACTTTAATTCCTCATGCTCTAAAAATATCTGATAACAAGAGTTCTAGTGAAATTTCAGATGCATGTATTCATTTTGACGCTTTCATTATATAATATTCTATTGACCAATATTTTTCGATCATACTTCTTGTATATGTTTGCAAATTTTTATCATTAAGGTACACTGCAAATCCAAGATATCCGCTTATATAGTAGAATCTAAATTTATTAATATATTGTCGACTATACATTTACGAAACTAACCTCTTCACTTCATCGGACATGACCAGCATTCGTCTGTTAGGATTATATATACCGAAGGAGAGAGAGAGGAAAACGGTTAGACGCGTAAGTGAATAGGTAGGTAGGTAGGTAGACTGACGAACAGAAAAATAGTTTGATGAGGGAACAAAATATCAGGAAGAGAAAATATGTCTGCTACTATTGCTCTGGAGTTTCCACCATTACAACAAAAACAATAACATCAACGCGAAGATACTTGGCTAGTTTCCCCGATGCGAGTTAAATCGTTGAAGCATGACTAGACTGATGAGAAAACTCGAGGGTCCACGGGAGATGTGTGACAGAATCAGCCAACTTGAAGGAGGTGCTTTCTACAACAACTGGGAAGCCCATCAGAAGTCTTACTCTTGACGTATGACGAATGACTTAAGGGACTAAATTTCACCCCTTTTACTCTTGGCTCTCATTAGATGGCCATTAGAAATACGTTATTAGTGAGAAGTATTAGAGTGACATTACTTCTGTGGCAAATATATTTTCTTTCTGCACTTTGCGTCCAGTTTCCAAATACCCATGGAATTACTAGAAATGAAATTAAATATACAGAACAATAAATAAAATTAAAAATTAAAAACAAGGAGAGAGGTGGGAAGAAAATGAGGACGAATCAGAAAAATTTAGTCGGAAGGGCATATTTGAATCAAATGTAGCCTGTTTATGATACAGAATTGAAACATGCAATGAGAATATTTTGGAAAGAGAGAATGATTCAGTGTGAGAGAATTGAAGAAAAAGTAGACGAGAGATCCAAAGAACCAGCGAAAGAGAGTCGCGTGTGCAGTTTCAGAGAGGAAAATGAGAGAGAGGGAGATAGAGAGAGGAAAATGAGAGAGAGGGAGATAGAGAGAGGAAAATGAGAGAGAGGGAGATAGAGAGAGGAAAATGAGAGAGAGGGAGATAGAGAGAGGAAAATGAGAGAGAGGGAGATAGAGAGAGAGGGAGATAGAGAGAGAGAGGGAGATAGAGATAGAGAGAGAGAGATAGAGAGAGAGAGAGGGGAGAGAGAGGGAGAGAGAGAGGAGAGAGAGAGGGAGATAGAGAGGGAGATAGAGAGGGAGATAGAGAGGGAGATAGAGAGGGAGATAGAGAGGGAGAGAGAGAGGGGAGATAGAGAGGAGATAGAGAGGGAGAGAGAGGGAGAGAGAGGAGGAGAGAGAGAGAGGGAGAGAGAGAGAGGGAGAGAGAGGGGGGAGAGAGAGGGAGAGAGAGAGAGAGAGGGAGGGAGAGAGAGAGGGAGATAGGAGAGAGAGAGATGAGAGAGGGAGGGAGATGGAGAGAGGGAGAGAGAGAGAGAGGGAGGGGGAGAGAGAGAGAGAGAGAGGTAGAGATAGAGAGAGAGAGGTAGGAGAGTAGAGAGAGAGAGAGGTGAGAGAGAGAGGGAGAGAGAGGGAGACAGAGAGAGAGGGGAGACAGAGAGAGAGGGAGACAGAGAGAGAGAGGGAGACAGAGAGAGAGGGAGACAGAGAGAGAGGGAGACAGAGAGAGAGAGATGGAAGACAGAGAGAGAGAGTTGGAAGACAGAGAGAGAGAGTTGGAAGACAGAGAGAGAGAGTTGGAAGACAGAGAGTAAGACAGAGAGAGAGAGTAAGACAGAGAGAGAGATGGGAGACAGAGAGAGAGGACAGAGAGAGATGGGAGACAGAGAGAGAGATGGGAGACAGAGAGAGAGATGGGAGACAGAGAGAGAGATGGGAGACAGAGAGAGAGATGGGAGACAGAGAGAGAGATGGGAGACAGAGAGAGAGATGGGAGACAGAGAGAGATGGGAGACAGAGAGTAAGACAGAGAGAGAGAGGAAGACAGAGAGAGAGAGGAAGACAGAGAGAGAGAGGAAGACAGAGAGAGAGAGACACACACACAGAAATAGGGAGAGAAAATTAAGGTGGAAGAAGTAGGAACGAAATAGCAGAATATTTTATTCGTATTTGTTTTCAGATTTCCAGTTCTTTTTTGTCCCCACAGAGAATTACTACAGAATTCTCGGTAAGAGAAGAAAATCTTCTGTTTTCTTTAATTGAGCTTTATTAATGCTTCTCAATATTGTATTTTAGTGTGTGTGTCTACGTATTTTATATCTGCCCGTTTCTTTTCCCCTCTTTCGGGTGATCCTTATAACTCTATTTTTGTAACTCACAATATTGCAACTATATCGAACACAATCACCTTTTTGTAATTCTACCTTCTATCTCAAATCACAATTTTTCGCTAAAGCCCCCTCGCTTTTTCATTATATGATATTAATATCAAAGTAATGTGTCATAATGAGGCTAATAGGAGACAATGTCGCAGAAAAATCTTCTTGCACTTCATTTTTCACTTGTCTCTTCTGGTGACCACCTACTTCCAATAAGACATTATCAAAAACTTGTTTTATTTGAATTCCGTAACCACAACCTTCGTCCTAATCATAAAATGAATAACAGCCACTATTTCCTAGGTAAACAATGGAATTTTTAATGAATATGTGTTAACAAGTTCAAATCGAAAGATACAATTGGTATATTTGTTGTAAAAGAAACGCATGCCACTAACAGGTGTCTGTCAAAGTGTGACGATAAGGAAGCAATTCTTGCTGTTTATTGCAAACATGACGCTCGGTAGACATCTCACTACCGGAGTCAATATACTTCTTGTTTTCGGGCAGCAGAAAAGACAAAATGGAAGTTGACGTGTTTGGTCCCTGAAGTTTCCGAGGAAAAACCTCTCCACTGCCCTACATGGAAAGGGTCGCGGGTTACCTTGACAAAACAGATTGAAAATCAAATCTACTTACATGTACATGAATTCCATATTAATAACAACATTTCAGCAAATTTAGCCCCGAACCAATCTAAGATAAGCGTGTAATATAACTGCAGCTGATTTGAGCAGTTGTGATGAAATCATAAATTGGAGACATGCTAATAATTATTGTTAAATGTACCCAAACCTCATATACTGTAACATTTATTTTCTTTAATAAGCATTGAAAATAAAACAAATAAAATTATATAAAAACCCCAGGCATCAAAAGAAGGAACTTCTAAAGATCTCTTAAAATATCATTTAAAAAAAATATTGTACTTATTACAGGTCATTTTAATTCCTAAGTTCAGTATACATTTACATACATGGAGTGGAAAATGCCAGGGATTAATAAAGATTTCGAATGCCGATATTTTGAAGCAAGCCTTGTTTGAAAGTATGGTGTAACATAACCTAATTCCATTCTAAGAAAATAAATTTACACAATAAATAAAGATTAGACAGTAAAGAAAATGATGAATTTAGAAAAATAAAAAAAGTTTAAAAGGAACAGAAATGAAAAAAGGATTACGTAAAGTGTATCATCCGTATGCATCTGGAGACGTCGATTGACGTTACATTTGAATAGTTGGAGATTATAGTTATCAGGAAAACAAGAAATGGGGAAGGAGTTCCACAGGCGAGAAGTGCGAGACTTGAAGCTATTGGAGTATAAGAGACGGCTAAATTTAAGTTTCGACAGTGAAAAGGTGAGAGAAAGATGCCAGCCTAGTTGAGCGCTTAAATTCACGAACCAGCGAAAGCAGCCCATCAGAGCAGTTACCGTGAAAGTATTTGTAAAAAAAGACAGAGGGAGGCAACGGCACGTCTGTGAGAGAGCGGCTGCAGTCGAGATGCCAGATCAGGGCCAGTTACATTGCATATCCGTCTTTGGATTTTATCAAGAACCTTGAGACAATTAGAATGGGCTCCAGACCATATATGGCAGCAGTACTCCATGCAAGGGCGAATGATGATTAAGTAATAAAATTATTGGGAAATGCATCAATCCACTTTTCCATGTGTTTTATCCTAGTCAGATATATTTAAAAAGTATATTGTCTCTGGTATATCACAGCAATTCAAATTTTTAATTAACAACAAAATTAATAAAATCGATAGTTCTTAGTTAAATTTTTAATTTATTGCAATTTAGTATTATTAGGCGGGATTACTTTACTTCTCGGGACATATCTCCAGTAGTTCCATTAATTTAATTCTGAAGGAGACAATCAGTACTAAGAAACAAGTTTACTATCATTATAAGCGACTGTGATTCAACATTTGACTATTTACCCAGCGTAGGCGGATTATTTAGTTAGCAATAACAATCTATAATTTAAAAATTTCAGAAATAAAATATTCTCTATTAATATTTAAAATATCTGGACAAGTTAAGTTTTTGTTGGAGTTAATTCTTTCACCGGTTAGGCAATATTGTTAGGTTAGCATTTTTAGGATATTTTAAATTTCTATATCTATATATATTCATTGTCAATTTTACTTTCTTATTGATTTCTTGCCGATATATATATATATATATATATATATATATATATATATATATATATATATATATATATATATATATATATATATATATATATATATATATATATATATATATATATATATATATATATATATATATATATATATATATATATATATATATATATATATATATATATATATATATATATATATATAATATATAAAAAAAAAACAAACAAAAATCATTAAATGCAATTATGTTGTTTTAAAATGAATGAAATGTCGACGTCTGACGTTTCGGTTTAATAAACCTTTTCAAGACAATATTCATTAAAATACAATTCAGTTCAATTTGACAAAGACGATGGACATAAAAATAAGTCTTATCCAAAACAGATAACTGAAAATTTTTAAAATGATCAGCTTTCCGTTTAGCATGGTCACGTTGTCGTCACATGGGCGACGCTTTCAAAACGTATTCCTAAAAAATTTTGATTATTTTGAATGAAAAAGAAAATGAAAAGAATTCTATTAGGATCTAAAAATTTTATGTGTATGCTTGTCGAGCATTAATCTCGCTAAAAAAGGGGAAATATTAAAGAAACCAGGTCTAGTATTCACCGTCTCTGTAAATCGTATCTACAAAATTAAAGCACACATGACAGTTTTAAATATGCAATCAAACCATCGTTACTAGAATTTCTGTTGAATATATTTATATATTCAGTATCACGTCTCGTTTGCCAATGAATCTTTTTCCAAGCCACAGGGATAACAGCAACTTAATAAATACACCTACTAGCTAGATCTACTGAAATGTTGTTAGATCCTAACAGTCACCGATATTCATTAAACCTTCTAATATATATCTTTTGGTAAACCGAAGTTCGTTATCATGAATCCTTGTCTTCTTAGGCTGATTTCTCGATTGATGGGTTCTGATTACACTTCTTAATAGTCATTATGGTTTGCTGTTATGGCCTTCTCATTTATCATTGTCTGTCTATTAATTGAAAGTGTCAGGCATTCATTTTCTAGCTTCATTGACCAGCTAGTTCAAGATCATCGTCTTCATTTTGTTCGGTCAATTTTTACAAGCCCTTTCTACAAACTATCAAGTATGTAACACTTCCACGGTTCTCAAGGTGTCAAGATCGAGAAAACTGTCGTTTATGTTAGCCCTCGTTGTAATAAGTTTTTTAACATATCAATATAGCGATCGTAAATTTTAATCAGATTAAATAAAGTAATGACGAAATTTCGTATATATATATATATTTCTTTATATATATATATATATATATATATATATATATCATCCTAACCATCATCCAGTCTTTTCAAAAACTATTCAGCAGATGTTCGTGTGGTCTAATATTTGGCGGCTCGAAATGATAAATTGGAGGGCTAAGTCCGAATCCCAGTCGGTTTTGCTACAGTCACTTACACAAAAATACACTTGGAAAAGGTATGAATACATCTTCTCCAGCTATGAGTTAAATATTAGAAATTATTACAATCCAAAAATGTTTTGACTTTAAATAATTCACAGATGGTTAGTGAGTTGTAAAAAACAGATCAAACAAAGACTATTCATTATAACCAATCCATCTTGAGTTTGTTTACCCTCTTAATAGTTTAAGATTTGTTTTACGGTTTTCAAGAATTTACATAAAAATATTTACACGGAAGTGAAAACTATTTAATACATCAAAATAGGAAGAATTATTCGCATCGAACTTTAGTAGGCCTTAGATTAAGTCATCATTATTTAATATTAACTTTTTGGCACTAACACTAGACTAAGTGGCAATGCAAGCGAGAGAATTTGCTTCTTGTTCACCACGGAAGGCTATCAAAACAGTGATCAGAGAAGCTGACATATTCAGCTAGCAAGAAAGCATTGAAATAATAAAAATTAGGTCTACTTATCGGTTCAGTAGCCATGAAATTAGGCATTATTTCGAAGGCTATCAATGCAGTACTGTCTTTTCAAGCAATCCCAAGTACTTCTACATTTCGGTACGATGAATTTTTATATATAAATTTTTTTCAAAGTTTTTAAGATAATTGATTTTTTTTCTTTATATTACCACCATGTAAATGTTTTAGTTATTTTCAGGACTTCACGTTTGAAAACATTATTATTATTTTTGTGTGTCCTCACAGAATTGGATTATAATCTTGTGCAAATGCAGCATAAAAATTATTTACACTCGGACTATCATGTAGTACCTCATATTTATACCCAAATTTTATCCGGCTAATCAATTATAAATTGATCTTTTTAGAGTACCATATGGATTCAGTAATATCAATTATGTATAGAAAATAATTATCGTACATATAATTATTGGAGTGACAATCAATAAGTAGAGATATTAATAACTATTTTATCTACATAACAGTATTAATAAAATCACATAGAATACTGAAGAGAGTTCAAAGAAGACTGGCTGCCACTTCAGTAAAATATAGTACACACTTGAAGCTAAAACCTAATTTGTATGAATAATAAGTCAGTATAAAAGTTTTTCCCTTCAATCTTTTCGAATATAAATTTCTTTTGTTTAATATTAAAATAATTTCTTAATAACTAACATGAACTTTCAATAAACATTTTAGGCGACTCATCGTGGTGTTCTGGTTACTAAACTGGTTTTGCAGATCAATTAATACTGTACAGAGTTCAATCATGATTAGGTAATCAATAAATGGGGCTTTGTGCTAAAAGTAAGCTACACTTCGTAAATAATTATGAATGGGATAATCTCGATAACTAATCGAATTTACCATTATTACAGTGTAATGAGATCGATCCTCACTTGTGGTATTGTGCCAAAACGAAATTTAGTAAATAAAAATTAAACTCAATATCTAAACAATGAGAATATATTCTTATAGACATAATTAAGTTTTGGATCATATTTACTAAATATATTTTGCCAGTATTGTTTCAGCACTAATCCTTTCATCTGTTGTCGTCATTGTTAATATTACGGCACATAGAGTACTTTATAAAGTGCTGATCTTGTATGATGAGGGTAATAAATACCATTATATGTTTTTAACTCAAACCTCTCAATTTAAGCGCTCTCATATCACAACAGCTGTATATTTTGTTAAACAATCGCGTGGAAATAACCGCTAGCAAATCATTTAGGTAACTTCTATCAGAAGTCATTAAAGGACTTAAATAAAAATAATAAAAATAACAAAAATAACAACTATTGAATCAGTTAAATGACATCTTTGTTAAATAATTTTAGCTATAAAGATAAAAAGGAGGAAAATCTGTGAGAAATATAAACGAAATACGGAAAATACCAGCTTTCACGATACAAGAGAATGAAATGACGCTTATGGTATATCTTATAAAATACTATTTTTCCTTTTAAAATATGGATTAAAATATCATTTATCTGGAAGACGTACGGTCATATTATTTGCAAGTATTTCGAACTAAAATTGTTTTTCTTATAATCGTGGGAGTAAGTAAACAAAAACATCACTAAGCAAAACTATTTTTATATTGATATACAAAATTGTTCAACGTCTAATAAAGACAGTTTAATTTGCTGCAAACACAACTTTATTTGCCCCAGGGTTGGTACCATGGAGTAATCTTGAAAACCTAGGCTAGTATATTTTGAATTTTGCTAGTTGTGATATTTTGGGGATATTTTCCAAAACAAACTGGACTAATAATAAGAAAGTTAATTTAAAATTTAATATTGCTGAACGTTTAAATGTTGCCCATTCACTCACTTTTCAGTTAATCGGACAACTCTAAAAGAAAAGAGAGCTCAATCCGAGGTGGAAACAAACATATTTTGGAAATTTTGGCGAGTACAAAATGAAATAAAATAAAAACAGTGTACTAATTCTACGAAATTATAAAAAAAAAAATTCTTGAAAATAAAAAGAGAAGAAATCCGACAAAAAGAAAACAACTAATTTGCTGTCAGCACAAATAAGGAACTACAAACTATGACTGGAATCTGATTAGAATTATTCAAATTAACCATTTCATCGATGCACATCTGTCCAGAGGAAAATTAAAAGAAAACCCAGCGATATGAATGTGTATGCGTAAAACTTGCCTTTAGTACTTGTCAATACCCAACAAAAGAAAAAAAAATTATCAATTGTTTTTTTCTAAATTTCCTTTTTCTTATTCTTGTGCAATTCTAACTGATTGGATCTGTTTCTACGAAGAAAACTTTTTCTGTTCTGTTCTTTATGGATAACTGTATTTCAGTAACGGTAGATTATTCAAAGATAAGTGAAAAAATGGTTTAAGATTTTCTTTAATTAGCTCAGGATTCCAAGACCAAAACTTCATTGACTTAAAATGAAGGAACAGGAAAAAGTTGAAGGAGACAGAGATGTGAAAAAGAGTGAGCGAGAAAGTGACATTAAGTGATAGATACATACAAAATGAGAAATAATTCGTAGAAAGTTCAAAGAAACATTTACAAACTTTAACTTTTGTACTTTGAAAATGCACATACATTTTCAAATGACATCGTTAACTACCGAAGGCCACTAAAATAAAATAACCTAATGCATGTCAATATTTGAAACGTTTTTTCTCTTCACAAGCCAAATTGTATGATATGAAAAAATATTCCGTATGTACGAACTAATGAATTATAAATTACCTATTTACATACACCAAACACTTTTTTTCTTTTTGTTACAAATGAAATTAGTCCCGTCCATATAAAAAGGTCACCGAGTAGGTTAGGGCAGTTAATCGTCACCACTTTTGCCTTGGTAGATAAGTTGATAAAGTGACAAATACAAAATGAGAAGAGCCACTAATTGAGGCGGGAAGGGGATTGTAAAGAAAAAACACACTGTCCCTAACCCACATGAGCTGAACATTGTAGTTTTTCAGAGATGATATCGATAAAGAAAGGTGTACAGAGAGTTTAATCCCTTCAAAAGGGATTTGCTAAGACAAAAAATAAATAGGATTAGAAAAATAGGTATGCGATTGAAGCAAAAGAGTATTAAAATTACTGTTGAAGGTCGAGTAGTACACTAGCTGAAACACTGTAATATAAAGAAAACTGAGGATATATATAACTTAAAAGTTGAAATTAACATGTATATAAAAGAAGAAAATATTTCGTCAGAAAATGCCGAAAATAATGGACACTGGCGAATGATACATTTTGAAAGAGACTTATGGCCAAGTGCATATATCAAATTAATATTGATTTCAACACCCTATAGCTTTCTTTTTAAAAGGTGTTAGGGAATTCCGACATTATATATAGTGCAATTGACTAGTTACATGAATGGAAGTAATGATTTAATCTCCCTATCTAGTGTTACTAAAATGAACTGATCTAGTTGGCATATTAATGACCCATTTCAACTGCCATTTTCTTACAGATTATTATACACACCTGATGAAAGCTAGAGAATAAATCGATTAAAACGTTGTCGTAAAACAAAACAAAAAACTCATGTGTTTAATTTTACAACCAAATTTTGGAAGAATTAAAAGAATCTAAATAAATCATCGGATCCTTAACAGAAAGTGTTCATTTTCTTACTGTTTCGAAAGATGAAATGTTTACAACATTTCACTGATATACACTCTTACTTTAATCTAGTACAAGACTGCTAATACTGAAGTAAACTGTAAACCTTAAACTGAAGAATGATTTGCCGGGATTAGCATGCTAATCATCACTAGTTCAGCGGATCACTCTACTCAATATAACTTTACACAACAGAAAACCACATAAATAAATAATCCCAACGAGAATCGAACTCACTACAGTAGTAAGTGTGCCTAGAGGCCTTACGAAATACTGATTAATGATCAAGCGTCTATGGGTATTTACTAAGTTTTCCTTAGTTTGTAACACCACCATAAGAGAGAAAGAGTGAGGAACAGTGAAAAACCTATAAGAACTAATTTACTAAACATTATTTTCTGTATATTTTTAGTATAAAGTCACCAACAATAGACGTTCATGGGGAATGAACTCACTACATCAATCAATGAACTAGTACAGTTGTTCTCAATGTGGAAACGCAATCAAGTCACTCACACTCTCAACATTTCACTCCATTTTGTGATTAGAAGTTCCCCACCTCCTTGATAAAAAGAGAATTTTCTTTGTGTATTTCATTATATATTCATTCAGAATCCCTTTCAAATTAATACCTGATCTCTTCCAGACAATTTACAAGATGAATTTGTAGATTTTTGTTAAACGGCTAAATATATTTTTGACAACTCTCCCCGACCAATGTCTTCTTGTTCCTTGACGAAATCATACCTATCTGTGCCTAAAGAAACGTATGAAAAGTCTCGCTATTCTTAATTACTTACCGTTGTAAACAAAGTTTAAAACCAAATTTGGTGCAAGACTCTCGATTGAAAATTTCGTTTAAAACTGTTTAAAAACTTTAAGTAGATGGGTGTGCGGAGAGCAGAGTTCGAATTCCAGTCGGATTTGTTAGATTCACTTACGCACAAATATCCTTGAGAAAGGTATGAATCCATCTCCTCTCCTCAGCTATGGGTTGAATAGCGGGACAGATTGGGTTCTTTAGCATTGGTTGGCAACCAGTCTACCGCAGAAAGAAATGGCAATCTAGTCGTCAGTCATGTATTGAAAGATACATGATCGCCCAAACGTGTGTCACGTCTGGCACTTAACTGACTGAGATGCGAAAAACTACTTTTCGTACATTTTCTTTAAACGCAGATGAGCATGATTTCATCATTAAATAGCAAATCATTGTTCAGTGAGTTTTTCAAAAAGATCTTTGGCTATTAAAAACATTCTACAAATTTATTATTAACCTTCTCTAAAAATCGTCATCAGCAATTCTAAATGTGAAAGTAAAGATTGATAATTTGCACCATTTGGTTTATTTAATTCGAAAATTACAGAAAAATATCAATTTAGTTAGAGGTTTTCAGACGAATTAACATTATTGTATTCTTTGCTATTCGGATCAACAAGTTTATTTTGGTTGTTTATGTTTATGTAAAAAAAACAAAAAATGCATATTATAGAAAAAATTCCTTTACTGATTAATTTCATTATCCATTTTTTGACCGCTATGCATAATTTTGACAAGTTCATTTACAAGTTTCCACCCAACACCAAGTAAAATAACTTGCCACAAAGCTCAGACATTTTTTACGTTCTATTTATTGAACATTTTTATATGAAAGATTGCTTCCCACATATATATATATATATGTGTGTGTGTGTGTGTGTGTGTATTTAGGCAGCAATCCCTCTTCCATGCACATTTCATTGAATACGATAGACAAGGTGCTTTGATTTAGTTTTTTTTTTTATACAATTTCTCATGCGATCTAATAACTTTTTTCTTTTCAGATGATAAATTATATAGAAACTGTCCGAATGTTCTTTTAATCCGAGCGCTTTCGGATATACATTTAGCCATTTTCAAGGATTAAATATTTCTTATTTAACAGTTAAAACATTTCATCCTTGAAAACGGCTAAATGTATAGCTGAATGCGCTCGGATTAAAAGAACATTCGGACAGTTTTTATATAATTTAGCATCTGAAAAGAAAAAAAAATATTAGATCGCATCTGAAAAAAACTAAATCAAAGCATCTTTGTCTGTCGTATTCAATGAAATATATATATATATATATATATATATATATATATATATACGTGTGTGGGGGTGTCTATATATGAGAAAAATAAGCAGTCATTTGGTGATATCTCCTGGCGAGTGGATGGAGGGATTGCTGGAGGGTTCGTCTACGAAGCTCTAGTCGGGATGCTGAAGAACATCATTCAGCTGACACTTGATATCTGTATTAGTCATATATATATATATATATATATATATATATATATGTGTGTGTGTGTGTGTGTGTGTGAGTAAAAACAATTAACATTTCATCGATAGAAGACTGCTTGAGGCGTGAAACTGATAGTGCTCATACAGTGTGATATCTGTATCCACAATGTATATACCTATAAACGCTCTATCTTTGATAGTGAGCACTTTTTCACCATATAAAAAATTTTAAGCAATATATCACACGCCTAACCTTGTTAAGATATTGATTTTGCGGCTTATATCAAATATTGTGATTGTATGAATGAATAACGACTGAATAATTTTGTTATTCTTTTTTAAAAGTCATGAAATAAAAATGTAAAATTAGTAACCGGATTGTTATTTGCACATTATCTCTACCCGTTTAAATAATTAAACGATATGAATGCTAAATGTATACGGAGAGTTTTGTTTTCTCTTATTGCAATATTTACTTATATAAATACTGACACGAGTATTTATTTCTAATTTCTGCTGAAAATCAAATAGCTCGGCTAACATCATAATCAGTTTGACAGTTCTTTTGGTAGAACAGGTTTTCCAACGATTCTGTCGTGTTTTAATGTTAGTTAATATTGGAGCCAACTCAGAGGAAGGATGCCGAATTATTTTGTTCCATCTACCATTTTCTTCTCACGCGTTCCGCGCGCGCGCACACACAGAGTCGTAAATACGACCATCTTTGCGAATGCATCATTCCGATTGCTACAGCATAAAAGCATTTACAGAGACACAATTTATAATTCATTACAATTATCGACAGTCACACTTATATTTAAGAAAGAAATTACCAATATACACGTTTCTTAAAATCAAATGCCCACATTTCTATAGAGCTTGTATTATATAGTTAAATATAGGGAGGCCCAAAAGTTATTTTCTCATAAGATTTTTATTACCACAGTTATATTTCCAATTACATATATGTCTCAACTTTCATTATTTCTTTAAATTCCTTTTTGAACATTTTCTTTTTAATTTTTAACCCATTTATTTATTTGCTTGTTTCTTAGATAAGAAATTATGACAGCTGCTTGAAGTCGATCAACTTCAGAAAAAATAATTACAAAATAACATTACGGTAAAATACCTTTCGGTCTACCCTGTATACAATAACCAATGTACACACAAACACATCCATATATATATATATATATATATATATATATATATATATATATGAAAGTAATTTATGTGTATGTGCACTATGCATCTACACACTAAGCTATACATAAAAATGTATCTCACAAATACATAATGCCAAATGTACATATTTAGTAGATAATATAGGTTAATCTAATGACAAAAAGAAAGGAAAAGCTTACTTACTTGTATATACACAAATGAGAAATTTCAAAAAATATATAAAACTTAAATTAGGTAACTGCCGCCAGACGAACTTAAAATAACTTACCTCCAACTCAAAACTAAACTTTTTCATAGACAAATAAATACACCGTGTGTTCAACAATGGTTTAATCATGTTTCATCAAATGAATTTGAAATATCAGGAAATATTAAATAAAAACCAATGTTAAGTAATTAGGCACATACACCCACCCACGTAA